TAGCTGTGTCGTACAGAATGATAAGTTCTGGTTGGGCAATCTGTGCTGGATGGTCCTTCACTTGAGTCCCTCCCGGTGCGGTAGAACTGATGGCTCACTGAAGAGCCGCAGAGCATTAGTGTCAGAGCTGAGCAGCAGACAGCCCAGGATGCAGGTGGGGAACGGAGCTCGCTGGAGAAGCCAGTGTTCTGGTAAATGGACAGTCAGCCTGCCTGTCTTCCTCGCAGCACCGCTGTGGTGGAGTGCAATCAGAAAACAGCATCTAACAGGCTACACAAGCAGTGCAACACATTTTGTTTAAGCACATTTTCCAACATTAAACATTTCACAATCTGCAGCCTGACATTCATTTTACACTGTAACTGCGTACACACACATCCACCTGAAACACAAGTTTCACTGAGTGCTACTTACTTTTTTTTTTTTTCCAGTACTGGAGATTGAACCTAGGGGCTTTCACAGTGTGCAACATTCCTAGTTCACCTTCCTTTTAAATGTTTCGTTTTTCTTTTTGTTTTTTTAAGACAGGGTCTCTCTTTGTAGTGCAGGTTGGCCTTGAACTCACTATGTAGCCCACGCTGGCCCCCAAACTAGCAGTGATCAGCCTGCTTCAGCCTCCCAGGTGTTGGGATTACAGGTGTGCGCCACCATACCTAGCAGGGATTTTTTTGTTGTTGTTGTTAAATAGTTTTGACATAGAGTCTCACTAAATTGCTGAATTGTCCAATCTAGGCTTGACTTTTTAGATCTTGCTGCCCTCAGACTCCCAGACTGTTGGGATTTCAGGTGTGTGCCACCATGTCCTGACTCTACTCTTCGTATCAGCTAGGAGAGCTCTCTGCTGCAGTAACAAACCACACAGTGGCTAAACCACTTTCTTTTTCATTTATCATGTAGTGGGAGAGCCTTTGGATTTAGGTCAGTGGAGCCTTCCCCAGTGAAACCACTGGTGGTTTCAGCAGCAGACCAATGGTAGGCAAAGGATTGTTTTACCCGAAAAAGCCTGTGTCCTAATCCTTGAAGCCTGTGAATATGTAACATTACCTTTGTGGTAATAATGGTTGCAGATAGAATGAAGTTTGCTGATCGGATGATCTTAAAAAAGGAGATTATTCTGAATTATTGAGGCAACCCAGTGTAATCTCAAGGGCCCTTAAAAGTGGAAGAGAGAGGCAAAGAGATCAGAGTGATGCTATGTGCAAGAACGCAACCTGCTTTTGCAGGTTGGCCTTGAAGGTGGCAGAGGAGGCCATGAGATAAAGACTGTGGACAACCTTGAGAAGCTGGAAAGGGCAGGGAGACAGATTCACCCCTTGTGACTCCAGAAAGGAACAGAGACCTGCCAAAGCCTTGATGTCAGCCTAGTGAGGCCCATTTTGAACTGAACTACGGAAATGAGATGGCAAATTTGTGTTGTTTTAAGCCATTAAGTTTGTGGTAATTCTTTAGAGCAGCCATAGAAAGTGAATACAAAGGACACAGGGAATCATATACCAGCACTTAATTGCATCTACTTGGAAATGACACGTGGCACTTCTATTCCTATTTAATTGGCCAGAGCGGGCCATGTGGGTTTGTCTAACTTCGTAGGACTGGAAATGTGTGATATTCCCAAGGGCCCAGCCTTAGAGGCAAGCTGAATATTGGTGAATATGGTCACGTCTGTTATATCCTTGCTACCTGGAGTGCACGTTCATATTTTCTGTTATACTCTATCCTACTTTGTTATAAACTAAAGCATCTTTTAAGGTGACTCCATTATTAGCTAGTGGGTTGTTGTGACCCCTGGTTTGGAAAACACTACTCTATAGCCCCTCTTCTACTCCTACTTCATGGATCATATGATATACCCTGGGCATCGCTGATTGGCCCAGGGATGGGGCACCTGACCAAAGCTGACCAATCACATTCCTCTCTTGGGAATTTGGAATTGGGCCATTCAGCCAGTTAGTAGCGGGAAGCTGAGCGAGAGAGGCAGAGTCGAAACAGGGATGGAGTGTGAGTCACATGCACGCCAAAAGGATGGAGGAACAGAAAAGCCCTGAGTAAGCAGAGAGAGCTGGTCCACAGAGACAATGGAGCGGTCGCACAGACAGCTGTGCAGCTGGGAGAACATGCAGTCCCAGAAGGAGAGGTGGAGAGAGGGAGTGACTGCCTGAGGACCCGATGGCTTCCCTGTTCCTGGCGCCAGCCCTCGTGCGTCCTGCCTGCGCATCCTTCCCGTGAGATTTTTGCCTCCTTACTGTACCCCTCCTCGTTTTTGTGAGCTACCCTGGTTGGTTTCTGTCCCTTTTCTCTGCTAAGCCTTCCTCAGCCTCAGCCCTGCTGCTGTTTCTCCTGTGGGAAACCTGCTGCGGCTCTGAGGATGGAGCTGTGGAAGCACAGATGGGATGGAGGGTGAACAAACCCAGTCTCCCCTACCAGCAAATTTGGCTTAGCCTGCAGGCTCGGGGGTTGGTGTGTGATCTTCAGAGTGGACAGGCAGAGCTGTCAGTGTGGGACTGCGCATGTGGGGTCCTGAGAAACTGGGAGCACCGCGTCGGGCTGAGAAGCTGGCAGAATTTCAGGGGAGGCTTGACTTGGTGAATAAACAGACGTGGGCTCTGGACAGACTGTGAGTTTCCTCTCTGTGCCTCAGTTTCCACATCTCTGAAATGGGATTGTAAAGATCAGCAGAGACGTGGGCAAACACTGGGAGATGTGAGTAGGGCATAACAAGCCAGCTCTCAGGGATTGCGGCAGCTGCTGCTGCTGTTTGAGGAAGCCATCAAAGTCCCAGCTTCCGGGAGGACGCGGCCCTGGTGCTGACTAGGTGAGCACAGGACGTTCCCCACTGCTGGCTGTGCTTCCTGCCACCGCCCCCTCGCCACCCCGACTCAGCCCTCGCCCCTGCTCATCTTTTCCTTTCTTCCTCTTCCCTTCCCCCTCCTGTCCTCGTTTCCCCTCTTTCTGTTATTCCGGATGCTGATACAAACACCTGCTTTAGGAGCCTGCAGAGGTGAGTAGAAAGCACACCCGGCTTCTGCAGGCAGACCCAGAACTAGCCCCTTGCCTATGCATGTTCCTGGGCTAATTACTGCACCTCTCTGAGCCTCAAGTTAATGATCCGTAAAGTACCCATTTCGCAGTGCTGTTATGAGAAATAATTAGCTGCCCAGCAGATCCTAGTCCTTCTTCCCTCTCTCTCTCTCCCTTCTCGAGTCCTGCTTCTCCAAGCCTGGCTCGGGTGCCCTGGGTGCCCCTTGTCCCTCAGCCACTGGAATGGTTGCTCCTGATTCAGTTATTTGTGCCCTCAGGCCTTTGTGGCCTCTCCTTTCCCTGGGACACTGGACTCCCCAGGGGTGGAGACAGTTTAAGTCTTCTGGAAGCAGCGGGGGGCGGGAAGGGGGGGCGGTCCTGAGGCTGGGCTATTTCTCAAGTCTCCTCTGCAGGCCCAGCCTCAGCTTGGGAGATGCTGGTGCAAACCGTGTGATCTGTTTTTCTCTCGCTTTAGCAGTTATCACACCCCGGCCAACTGTGGCATCTTCACACCCCCAACGGCGATAAATTCTCATGGGGAGAAGGGCCCCCGGGTCGGGGAGGGTGTGCCAAGCTCTTCATTGTGAGCAGTGCTCAGACCTGTCCGCAGTCCCTGGGGACCTTGGAAAGAGGGCTGGGGGTTAGGGGTGAGGGCTGTGGAGACTGAGCACCGCCCTACCTCAGACTTCTTGGAGGAGCCGCTGCCTGAACATGGTGGTCTTCCCCTGGATGCTGATGACCTCCTGCCCCTGTGCAGGATGTGGGTGGTGCGCTCCCTCTCGGCCTCTTTCGGGCCTGCTCCGTCTCTCTGTGTCCACTCCATCTCTGCTTGTGACTGCTTCTCTCTTCCTCTCTGTCATTTATATTTTTTCCATCTCTTATTCCATCTTTTATTTCCATGCCTATGTTTCTCTTCTCTCCTCACCTCCCCTCCTCTCTTCCAACACCTTCTCCAGTCTCTGGGTCTTTGTCTTTCAATTTTCTTCTTTCCCTCCCCACAATTCTGAGAAATTCTGGGCTAGATGATGGTGGATGGGTCTCTCAGGCTCCAGACACAGGTGGGGAGAGGGCAGGAGGGAAGATGGAAGGCCAGCGTGGAGGCCAGGAGTTGGGGACCACATCACTGCCTGGCTCTGCATCCAGTGCGCTGCTGTGTGACCCTGGCTGTATACCTCCCTTTCCTGTGCTTTGGTTCTCTCAGCCAAATCAGGCAGTAGATTCTTTCACTCGTTCATTCACTCACCTGTTCAGCTAGTGTTTATGAAGTGCTTGCTACCTGCCACTCACTAGTGCATACTTGTTCTGGATGCCTGGGATGTGTCAGTGGACAGGAGAGACCAAGGCCCCTGTCTAGAGGACCAGACAGGCCAGGCCTGGAAAAAACAGACCAATGACATAGCAGTTTAGACAATGAGGAGTGTGGTGAACCAAAAGAAGTATCGGGGAGCTGGGGTGGGGAGGGGCACAGAATAAAGCATCCAATGAGGCAGCGAGGTTGGGCAAGCAGATGTGTGGGGAGAGGGAGCAGCCAGAGCAAAGGCCCTGAGGCAGGAATTGCTCTGGTGGGTTTGTAAAACAGCAAGAGGCTTTAAGGCTGGAGAGGAGTGAGGAGGATCACAGGAGGTGACTCAGGGAGGAAAACGGGGCGAGGCCGGATCACACAGACCTCCCAGGCACTTGAGGCTTTTCCTCCACGGGGATTGGTAGACTTATTTTGAGCCCCTCTCTGCCGCCATGTGAAGAATGAGCTTCAGGGTGTGTTGGGTATTGCAGGAGGGCTGGAACAGCTGGGATGGCAGCTTAGGTGGAGGTGGCGGTGGAGATGGAAAGAGCCGATTATGCCGGCCCTGTTCCAGCTCCACGTTTGCACGGTTCCTGGAAGTCACTGCGGGCCCTTGTCCTCCATCTGGGCTGGGGTGGACTGCAGGGGCCGCCTGGGCGAGCCGCACTAACGCTGGCCTCACCTCTCTTTCTCTCCACAGAGTGTTCAAGAAGGCGAGCCCCAATGGAAAGGTGAGTGTGCTCGGCTCCTCCCTGAGCCCAGCCTCTGGGGTCCTCTCCTGGGGGGACAGAGCCAACAGTGTCTCCGCCGATGCTTCTGCTGGGGTACGGGTGACACAACTCTGTCCTCAGGAGCCCTCCATCCACATGGGAGGGGCCTGTCAGGAAGCGTCCTGTCCGGCCTTTGGGGCGGGGAGCAACTCTGGAGAGAGCCGGCTTCTCATAGAGCAGTGTGAATGTGATAAATAGAGGTCCAGCCGGCTAGCAAGGGCCACAGGCCAGGGGAAGCAGGTGTGAGAGGCCCCTGGTGTCACTTCACTATCCAGGGCAGCTCCCAGGGCCTGTCCGCCTTTCTTTCCACAGGCTCTGCTTTCCTCTCAGTTCAGCAAGTAGATACTGCCACCATTCCGTGCTGGGTCTGGGGTCCGGGCCAGGCCTGTTGGGGGTGGTGTAGGGTGTGCTGAATGAGTCAGACACATCGCTCACAGCAGGTGGTGGGGTGGACGCAGAGATGGATCGCTTCCATACAAAGCATGGGATGCGGCGGTGCTTGGGGCTCAGGGTGCAGTGTGGGCAGTCAGGGTGGCTTTCTCTAGGAGGGGTGCATTTCTGGAAAGGCAAGGCGAGAGGTGTTCCAGACAGGACCATAAAATTGGACTGTGGCGCAGCCCAGGCAGCCGAGTCCTCAGGCACCAAGCGGGAGCAGGAGTGGGAGCAGAGGCTGGTGTGGCTGCAGCTTGAATTCTCGGAGACCTGTGTGGGGCTTGGGAACTCAGAGCCGTGGCCTGGGTTGGCACGTAGTGCCATGGGGCTTCCACATCCCCATTCAGTGCCCACAGCAGACATTGGCCATCTCACCACTTCCTGTTGACCAGGATTCCACCTTGGATTCCTTCTCAGTCCAGGTCCCGAGGCAGCCCTGATGGATAATCAATCAGAGCTGGCATTTGGAATGAGAGCCGTTTGTCATCCTTACCTCTGGGCACTGAGGAACTGTTAAAGGGTTTTCAGACAGGGGTGTCGTGGTTTGATTTGCATTTTAGGACAGCCGCTCTAGCTAAGGAGGGGAGAACGCCCTGGAGTCCGGGGCCTGTGAGGCTGTCAGCAGCAGGCGAGGGTTGCTGAGGGCATGGAGAGGGAGGATTTGAGAAACCCGGCAGAGGCCAAATCATCAGGACTGGGGCAGGAAGGGCAGGAGGGCCTTCTGGATTTGGTGCTGAGCCCGTGGAATTCTAGCTGGTGGGTTCTTCCCGGAGGGTTGGCAGGGGCCCAGCTCCCCGTTGCTCACCACCGCAGGGAACAAGTCCTTAGGGGGGCTCCAGGTTTCCTCCAGGGCAGGGCCTACGCCCTCCCTGGCCCACAGCTGCCAGCGCCCTTGTGTCTCTCCTTCCCAGCTCACTGTCTACCTGGGAAAGCGGGACTTTGTGGACCACATCGACCTTGTGGACCCAGTGGGTGAGTCATGGAGGCTGCTGAGGGCGGGAGGGGGAGCGGAGGGCAGGGCAGGCCCAGGGCTCCGGAGGGGCCTGCTGCCTGGGGTGGGGGTGCGTGGCTCCTGCTTTGGTTAGCAAGCGTCTTCTAAGCAGCTCCTTCTGTTCCCGTGTGTGGGGCCCTCAGAGACTGTGGGGAGGGTGGAGGTGAGAGCAGGGAAGCTGTCCTGATGCGACAGGGTGAGGGTGATGACAGCAGACAGGGGGGGCAGCTGCGATTATTATCTCCGATTTTCAAACCAGGACGGTGACGCACAGACAGGCACCATGACTTGTTCCAGGTCACAGAACCAGTCGGTACAGGGCCCAGTTCAAACCTGGTGTCCCGGCTCTGCAGAAAGCCTTAGTTTTGCTGCCTCTTCATGGCAAAAAGTGGGAGATGGGAAGAAAAACCCTTGTGGTTTGTGACATGGGGACTGTTTTCACCTACATGGGGGTTCTGGGTCATGGCTGAAGTCACCTTTCAAGGTCTTGCTTGAGTTCAGGGTTTCTCATCCTCAGGATTCCTGACACCTGGGATTAGATGACCATGGGTTGGATCTCTCCCGTGCCATGTAATTTGTGCAGCAGCATCCCTGGCCACGCGTGTTAGGTGCCAGGAATGCCATGCCTAATGTGGGTATGAGGGCCACAGACATCTCTGGAGCCAAGAGCCTATAATCTCAGCTGCTCAGGAGACTGAGGCAGGAGGATCACTTTTGGACATTGCCAAATGGCCCCTCAGGGGGCAAAATTGCTCCTGGTAAAGAACGACTGCTCTTGTTACAAGACTCTTGGCTCATTGCCTCCTCCCACAGCTGAGGGAGCGAGGGCGGCCCAGAATCACACCATCTGACAGATGGGCCCAGTGAGGCCAGAGAGGTTGTTATCATCATCATCATCATCATCATCATCATCATTATTATTATTATTTTTAAGAAGGTCATGGACAAATGAAAGTGATACAAGGGAGGCCACAGTCTGGCCGGGAGGATGGGGCTGGAGACTGCGTGAGGCCAAGTCCAGGTGAAGAAAAGGGAATGTGTTGTTGGGAAATAGTCCCAGAGAGTGTGGCCTCTCCTCCTGTCCCTGAGGCCGTCCTGGGGCCAGAGGGCAGCAGCAACCCTCATGGTTTCCACACACAGTGGCAGGTTTCAGCTCAGCTGGAGGAAGACCAGTCCGGTACTGAGCCTGGGGACCTGGGGGTCCCTGGGGTCTCTGTGTCAGTGACATGTGTCAGGACCAGGAAGCTACAGAAAGACCAGCTTTGCTTCAGGCCCGTCTCTTCGTGGTCCTGGGCAGGACAACCCCACTTTCCCTCTCTGTCCCTGTTGAGGACACCAGACACTTCCAGTGTCTTCTGAAGCTCAGTCCCCTCTGTCATTTGCAGCTTCTGCCAGAACTGGGCCCTCAGAGGTTGTCGTCTGCTTCAGGCTGTCACTTCCAAAGGCTGTAAGGCACAGCGGTGTCGTGCACAGCCACTGGCTTGTTAAGGGCGGCAGTGGAGGCTGCGGAGGGCGAGGGCAGAGGGGAGCAGCTCCTCAGCACACGTCAGCACCGAGAGCACCGACTTCCTGCTGGGCTCTGTGCTAGCCCCTGGGGAGGGCACTGTTCAGGGTTGATGTCATGACACACAGTGAGAACTACTCTGTCCCTCATGACATTGCCCTCTAGCGTGGCCTGGCCATACCTCTCTGTGCTAACTACTCCCATCAGATCGGGGCACCGGTCCAAGCCTCCTGGCCCAGCTGATGGGACTTTGTGATCCTCCCCAGCCTCCAGAATCCGTGCTCCCAGGCCTCGGAGTCACGCTGTTCCCTCTGCCTGCCTCGTCCTACTCCTTAGTCACCCAGTCAGTGACCCCTTTTAGTCCTGGGAGGCCTGGCTGCAGCTTTCCTCCCACAAGCAGCCTCCCATAACAAGCCTGAAGGGGTTCTCTGCACAACCCTGGGACTCTCTGTGCATGGATTTCCATGGAGCCCTAGAGCCCAGAACAGGATGTGGCCCAGAGGCGAAGCCCACCATAAAAGGAAGATGCAGGGGCAGGTCCTGCCAGCCTGTTGGGCATGCCCTGACCAGCTGTCCCTAGGACCTGCCCAGGTTGGATTGAGATCCTTCCAGGCACTGTGCCTGAGATTCTGAGGGGTCAGTGTGGGCAGCATGGGGGCGGGGTGGTTGTGTAATGAGAGCAAGAGAAAGGTTGGGCCAGAGATGAGTTGGGGCTGCCGGGCAGAGCTGTCCCTTGAGCCAGCATTCCTGGCTTCCTTTGTGTTCAGGTGGCCACTCTGCTCCCAAGGGCGAGCCTCCTGAGGGACATGGGGCCCCTTCCATTGTGCCCACCCATGCCAGGCTCTGTCCAAGCCCTTTACACCTGTGACACATTTTACGCATGTGCACACCGACACAGACTACCCTCTTGTCCTCACACAAGCCCTGTGAAGTACGGGCTGCAGCTTCCAGTCCCCAGGCCCCCAGTCCGCAGTGCCTTGAAAACCCAACTCTGTTCCTAGATTTAGGCCAGCTTTGTCTGCTGGCAAACCTGACTCATCTCAGGCGAGGCCATTTATGCCACAGTTAGCCTCTTGGTGGAACACAGCCGCACATCGCCAAGTGATGGTGACACATTCTGAGAAATGCGTCATTAGGTGACTTTGTCATTGGGTGAACCTCAGAGGGTGTACCTACACATATTAAGATGAGCATGATGTCACTAGGTGATATACTCTTAGGGGGCCGTGTCATTTGTGTGGTGCTTTGAATTGTTACATGGCCCGTGAGTGTATCCGTGCAGAGCTGCTAATGGCTTTTACAGCAGGGCGCGTATCCTGCAGAGGGTGGTACCCAGTCTGTGGAACATGTACCACACTGCCGCTGTGCAACTCACAGCTTCTGAATTCCAAAGCACACTTGGGCCGAAGGGCCTCAGACCCACATTATTATTTTTAGTAACAGATGAAGAAACAGAGAAGTTAAGTAACCCGCTGAGTCAACAGCTGGTCCGAGAGGAGAGTCGGGCATGGAAGAGATGAGGCGGGAAGGGCAGGGGTGACTCCCTGGGTGCTGGCTTTCCTGTTTCTCACATGAGGCTTTTGAATAGACAGATGGCTGGATTTGGACTTGGGCGGGTGTTGAGGGCTCAGGGTTTGGGAGGCAGATTTGAGGGTCAGCTCACTCTCTGTCTCCCCCAGATGGCGTGGTCCTGGTGGATCCTGAGTATCTCAAAGAGAGGAGAGGTAGGCTGTGGCCTGCCCCCCACTTCCTTACCGACTTCAGACTTCCAGAAAGGACATCAGATCGTCTTACTGCCTCTCTGCCCATCCCACTGATGCCCCCTAACCCCAGTGAACACCACAGCAGGGAACACTCCAGCCTGGGAGAACTTGTCACAGCCTAAGCACTTTTTCATCCGTGTCGTGAACATAGCAAGGCTGTCGGTGCCAGTAGCTCAGGGGGTGAGGGATTGTGCAGGGTTAGTGGGGAGACAGGAGCAGGGGGTAGGACTGGGATAGGACCCTGTGCCTTCTGGACAGGGCCCCACATTTGCTCCCTGTCCTCTGCTGTCCCTCTGCCCCTGCATGCCTGCCACCTACTCCAGCCCTCCCTGCTCTATCAGGCTATTCCCAGTTCCCCTGGGATCAGGGGAAAGGTGGCCCAGCAGTCATCCCCCACTTCCTCCCAGTAACCACACCATGGGCTGCCATGCAGGGCCCCAGTACCAGCTCTGAGGGGGACACAGCACACCCTCCCCACAGGACGTAGGGACAGCCCTGTGGCCTCCAGTGAGCTGATGCCCAGGATGCAGCTGGCACATTGGGAAGTCTGTGTGCTCCCTCCCAGACGCCTGATCAGTGCCCCCTGCTCCCCACAGTCTATGTGACACTGACCTGTGCCTTCCGCTATGGCCGGGAGGACCTGGATGTCCTGGGCCTGACCTTTCGCAAAGACCTGTTTGTGGCCAACGTGCAGTCCTTCCCGCCGGCCCCCGAGGACAAGAAGCCCCTGACACGGCTGCAGGAGCGCCTCATCAAGAAGCTGGGCGAGCACGCATACCCCTTCACCTTCGAGGTAGGGACTGCCTTTTTGCCCTCTCAGACGTGCCACCCGCAGGGAGTGCTCAGGGCCGGCACTTGGGGGCAGTGGGGCAGCTTCTTGTTTCTTAGACTGTCTGATGGTAGGGTACAGTGCAATCCCCTCCCTTTCTCCAAGCATTTGAGAGTGGAGTGGAAATATGGAGTCATCTTGTAGTTGTATTAGTTTCCTGTGGCTTTTGTCACAAATACCACAAATTTGGTGATAATTAAACATAACAGTTAAGACAGCACAACTTTATGCTGTTGAAGTCCTGAAGGTCAGATGTTCAAAACGGGTTTCATGGGGATAAAGTCAAGGGCTTGGCAGGTGTGGTTCCTTCTGGGGGCCTGAGGGGAGAATCAGTGTCCTTGTCTTCCAACTCAGACACCGTGGCTCATGGCCTCTTCACCCATCCCTCTCCTCATGGCACGGGCTCCTCAGCTGAGGGCGGCGGCTGTGATGTCCCTTTCCTCTGGCGTGGATGACTCTTCAGCTTCCTATTTCCTCTCGAATGGCTCTGGAATAATACCAGGCCTACCTCGTTCATCCAGGCCATTCTTTCCATCTTGATGTCCATAACATAATCCCATCTGCCAGATTTCTTTTGTCCAGTAAGATAACAGAATCCCGGATTTGGGGGATTAGGACATGGACATCTTTGGGGGACCATTATTCTGTCTAGCACAGCAGACGCCATGGAAAGATTTTTCAGCCGTTGCTGTGAGGACGGGCCTGGGCTAAGCCTTTGAAGAAACCAGAGATTCAGATCCTTGGCTTCACTGGGGGGGCCTCTGATGGGGGAGACATGGCCCATTCTAGGGGCTCCTTGTCTCCTGGGGGAGACATAGCCTGTCCTCGGAGCCCTGCTGGGACAGGCGTGTGGGAGCGGCCAGGGTGTGAGACAGGCAAGAGGAGTGGTGGCTCTGACAGGGGCCGACTCTGTGTCTTCTGAACAGATCCCTCCGAACCTCCCTTGCTCGGTGACGTTGCAGCCAGGGCCTGAAGACACCGGGAAGGCAAGTCATCCCAAAGGGGGCGTCTGTCTGGCTCCAGGGCTCTTGTGTTCCCAGGTTTCTAGCTTTCTCCCTGGGAAGACCCCCTCCGCTCAGTGCTTCCTTGGATGTGGGCCTGCTGGGCCTCTCTGGGTCCTCTCTTCAGACCAGGCTGCAGGCTCAGCCTTGCCCCACGCTCAGGGATGTGTCAGACAGAGACTCCTGAGTCACCATTGCTGGCCCTGGTGTTGGCGTCAACAGGACCAAACTGTTCTAAAGACTTTCCCCTGGGCTCACATAGTCCCAGAAACCTTAGATGGCCCGGCGAGCCCCACTGAGTCACAGATGGGGAAACTGAGGTTTGAGAGAAATGGTACCATTAGTGTCGCAGCCCCCAGACCTCAGAGCCCATTTCCTCATCTGTGAGGCAGAGATAACAGGATGTGCCGCCTGTGTTGTTGGGGAGACTGAGAAAGCACCCCCTGCACAGGGTATGCACCCTCTAGGAGCCAGGCTGTCTGTCGCTGTTTCTGGGTGCTGCTTGCAGGGAGGCAGCCACCTGGATGGAGGCGGGAGTCCCCAAAGTAGCACCCAGCTAGCGTCCTCAGGACAGCAGTCAGGAGCTCTGGAAGCAGCTCTGTGGGCAAGTGGGTGGCGAGGCGGTGCTGACCAAGGACCCAGGAGCTTGGTGTTGGTGGCCAGCAGCCCGGTGTGTATAATGGAGGTGGGGTTGGCCATGTGCTGGAGGCCCTACCTCCCCAAGGCCCTGTGGCCACCACTGCCTCCTCCGCAGGCCTGTGGTGTGGACTACGAAGTCAAAGCCTTCTGTGCGGAGAACCTGGAGGAGAAGATCCACAAAAGGTGTGTGGGCACCGCGCGTGGAGAGGGGCTGGGACGGCCAGGAGGGCGGGGCACGTCGGAGGAGGAGCTAAGTCACCCTCCTCCTTGGCTTCTCCTTTATACCACTCCAGCAGCTTCCTCCTCAGCTGCCTGCCTCTGGCTCCTCCCCTCCAGACTGCAGGCCTTCTTATTTTTGGAAAAACCCCTAAATTCAGGCTGTGCCCAGTGTTTAGCTAGATGCCTTCAGGGCATCCTCATTTTCGGTTTCCTCCTGGGAGGCATGGGCAGAGGTGGGGCTTGTGTGTCCTGGAGGCCCCTAAGCAAGGGAAGGAAGTGAAGGTGAGCCCACTCTGGGAAGAGTTGGGAGGGCCTATGACTAGAGAGGGGAGGCGCATTCCTGTGGGCCAGAAACAGCAGGCCCCTCCTCCGGGCTGCCCTTCCTGCGTTACACCCTGGCCTGAGCGCCGAGGATGCCCCTGCATCCTGCGGCAAAGGATACAGCAGCCTCTTAGAGAGTGGGTTGTTTTCCCCCTTGTGGCTGTTGGCGGTACTGCAGGCATTTCTATCCATAGCCTGGGCTGCTCACTCAGGTGTGCAGGGAGATGAGATCCTCCTCTCTTGAGGCTCTCATCCCCTTTTCCTCTTAAGACCTTAGACCAAGGAGAAGGAAGGGTGCTGTGGGCTGTGTCAGGGAGCCTGGCCAGAGCAAAAGAGCAGAGGCAATACTGAGAGCCACCATCCTCACCCCACCACCAAGGGGGTGTCTAAGACCGCACCAATCATTTCCTGGTCATGGTGATGTACTGGTGGTAGCTGTCATTTCTCAGGCAAGTACCAAATGTGTTCAAAGTCCCAGACAGGCATGGATTCATTCAACTCTCACAGCACTCCTAAGAGGCAGGTCCTGCTGCTGTCACTATTTTACAGATGAGGAAACTGAGGCACAGAGGAGTGAATATACTCAAGGTCATATAATTCCAGATAGTGGTGGTGGCTTTGAGAACTGGGGCTGCCAGCACTCCCAGTGTGCCACTGAGACGGTCTCCCTGAGTCCCTGTCCCCTCCCTCCTCCCCACCTCCCCAAGTCCTTACTTCTCTCTAAGCCCTGTCGCCTTCCCTGAGCTCTTCACACCTGGGAGCCTGCATCGCCTCCCTGAGCTACCTCTTCCCTGGCTTACACCCCCTAGCTGGGCCCACACTCACTCACTGAGCCCAACACTTTCCAGAAAACCATTTATTATGGGGCCCCTGGCCCTTCTGCTTTTTTTTTTTTTTTTTTCTAGTGCTAGAAATGGAGCCCAGGGCCTCACTTTTGCTAGGCAGGTGCTGTACCATTGAGCTATATAACCCCAGCCCCATATTTTCACTTAACAGATATTTATGATATGGCAGACACTCTCATAGGTGCTGAAGATCCAGCTATGTGTCCTAAGGAGCCTCACTATTAGGTGACACAGAGAGACAGGAAGTGAAAACCGTTCTTTTCTTATCATCTTGCTGAGTACCATGACACAGACCCAGATGGCGTGCTTCCGCAGGGTGGTTTGTTAATAGAACGGGCAAGGATGGACTGGGGCCAGATGGTGCCAAGGGCCCTAGGCCAACCTCTGCAGTTGGCTGGATTCTGAGGTGACAGGGAGCTATGGCAGCCTCTTGAGCAAGATAGGGATGTAGGAATTGCAAAGAAAGGGAATGGAGGTGGGTGGCTCTGGTTATCTCTCACACTGTCCATCTCCACTAGAAATTCTGTACGTCTGGTCATCCGGAAGGTTCAGTATGCCCCAGAGAGGCCCGGCCCCCAGCCCACAGCCGAGACCACCAGGCAGTTCCTCATGTCGGACAAGCCCTTGCACCTGGAGGCCTCCCTGGATAAGGAGGTAGGAGCTGGGAGCTGAGGGGAGGGGGCTGCTCTCCCGGACCCCCTGCCTGGCCTTGAGGACTCCTCAGCCAGGAGCCCATCCCCCAGGCCTGGTACTATGGAGCTTAGGGAATCTGAGGCCTCTCTTAAGGAAGTGGCAGAGGCAGACATGAGCCTGGGGCTTCAGCTGACTTCAGAAGGAAGCAGTGTGCTTCTGGAATGGACCTGCCCATCTCCTTTCAAATCCACCAGCTTTGAGCTTCAGCCCATAGGGTGAGGACCAGCCAGATTGTCAGGGAAGGGGACAGTGGGGCCCATGGACTTCCTGTCGTAATGCTTCCTAACTCTGAGCCATGAGACCACAAACCCTGCAGAAGGTGGGGAACTCTAAACAGCCAACTGAGACCTGCTGTGAGCCCAGACAGTCCCCTCCTGGGGTGTGGGCACCCTCTCCCTCTTGGGGGACAGCTGAAGGCAAATGCCTGGGTAAGATGCAATTAAGGGCCTTCAGTGAGAACTCAGAGCGGGGTCCCCTGTGCAGACAGCTAGCCCTTCCTCTCCTTGCCTGGCTTCCTCCAGAGCCCCTTGTGTCAGCCCAGTTGGCAGGGACTTGAGACATCACTTGGTCCAAGTCCTGTTGTACCATGGGTGAAACCGAGGCTTAGATAACTTGTCCAATGCCATGCAGCCATCATCATCACTACTGCATCTATTGTTATTGTTGTTTTTTGTTGGTGACCAGGTCAGGACTGGAGGCAGGAATATCACCTACTTCAGATACCTTTCAAGAGTCCCCCAAGGGATTGGATGGCTGATATGACTGGTAGCTTCTGTGCCCCTTTCACACCAGTGCAAAGTGGCTAATGAGCTTGGGGCAAAAGCTAGAATAACAAAGGTTTGGGGAACCCCAGGAAGGCCTTTTCCCTTCCCCTTTACCTAAAAGGCTGGTGTCCTTCCAGCCAACATTCCCCTTTCTGCTGCCTCCCAGATCTACTACCATGGAGAACCCATCAGCGTCAACGTCCATGTCACCAACAATACCAACAAGACAGTGAAGAAGATCAAGATCTCGGGTACCTTGGGGAGAGGGTCAGCTCGGGGTGGGGGAGGAGCAAGGCGGAGCCCTCCCACGAGCTGGGGTAACTGAATGCTTGCCCCTTGCCAACAGCCTGGTGATACCTGCCATTAATAACCCCCAATCCCGGGCCAGCTCTGGACTAAGTGGGGACTTTGAGGCTGGTGCCCCGGGCTCCTCATGGCCTTCTGGTCAGGCCACCTCTTCTAGGTTTCCCGGACCCTGAGCTCTGCTGTCCTTGAAGGGAAAACTTTAGGTTAGGGGGAAGAATGGATGTTTGGGGGGCTCCCCTTTGGGTGGAGGGTGGAGTGATGTCACGCAGAAGTGCACCTGGTGGACTCTGGCTGTTGCCCAGGCTGAGAGAGGAGGCCGGAAGTGCCACCTGGAGTTGCCCCTTGCTCATGCGCTTCCTCCCTTTGTGCTCTGCCCGCTGCCAGTGCGCCAGTACGCGGACATCTGCCTCTTCAACACAGCGCAGTACAAGTGCCCCGTGGCCATGGAAGAGGCTGAGTGAGTGATCAAGGCAGGGCCTGGGGCTGGGTGGGAAAAAGAGCAGTTCTCAGTCCCGCTGCAGCTCCAGTGGCCCTGCTGACCTGCAGAGGGCTGGGCCTCAGGCCTCCTTGCCGCTCGCAGTAGATGATTTTGAAGAGCCTTGCAGGAACCGTCCATCTGATTTAGCAGCAATACAGTGCACACTACAGTCAAGGAAAACCAGCAAGACTATCAAGAGCTAATGCATGGGAGGGAACTGGGTTTGTGGAGGGAGAATCACCACACTGTACCAGAAACTGAGGTGGAAGGGAAAACTGCGCTGAGCTTCCTGGGAGCCAAGGCAGAGTGGGAGGCCCCAGGTACACAGCTTTTCTTGTCTGATAGAGAAGTCATCCAGCTCTCTGGGTAAAAGGAGTTGTGTGTGGGAGGGCAAAGAATAATTTTACAAAAACTATCTAGATCTGAGGCGAGCTACTGTGGTTGAGCGTAGAGCTTGCCCTGAGCACACTGGCAGCTAAGATAAGAAGCCAGATCTCAAGCAAAAGGCTTTTACCTGCCTACAGGAAGTTCACGCATTCATTAGAAGACACACTTTTTTTTTTTAACCTGGCCCTAAACTTTTTTTTTGGGCAGTTGCATTTTATGCAGTGTTACCAAATATGTGCATATATAATTGTAATCGGTATTTTTTGCCACATAAAAACACTTTAAAATGTCTTTGAGTTTTTAATTTCTTATAGGTAATGTTTTATAATTAGATCAGACGTTCCCCTATTTTTAGATGTTTCTTATATCCACTGATGATTAAAAAAAAAACAACTCAAAGCCATGAGGTACAGACTCTTGGTGAGGAGTACAGTGAAGTGACGCAGAGCCAGAGCAGCTTGCAGGTCCCAAGTGGACCCTCAGGTCCTGCAGATATGCACGTCTGCTCGATTCATACAGCCCAGGAAGGGAGCCACTCATGCTCAGAGTGTGTTCAATCCACTTCTCACGGAGTCCTGTGTGGTTGGGGTTGCTACTGCCCCAGCGTGCAGGTTGGGGAATGGGGTCAGAGAAGGGGACATGTTCCGCTCGTAGACCTGGCAAGGTGCAGAGCAGGCTGCTGCCAGGGCCAGCCTACTGTCTGCCGCACAGCAGTTGTTTTGTTGAAAAGGGAGAAAACAAACAAAGTGCAAAAACAAGTAAAAATTGAATGGTCAAAAAATTTTAAAAATTGAACAGTCAAAATGCCCTGTCCATGCTGGATAGAAGTGTCTGCGTGAGGATCCAGCAGCTGCCATGAAGCAAGTGAAGTTTTAATTGTATGACATAGGGAGTGGGTTATGGGTCTCTAATAGCTTCCTTCATGGTTTATATATAGTTGTGATTTTTAAATAAGCGTACACTTTGCTCTGGGCTGTTTCCTAGCCCAGGGTCAGTCCTGTTTGCGTGTGGGGTAGATGTGCTTCTTTTGGGTCGCAGTGGTCTCTGTGTCAGAGCTGGGCCTGGTGCACATGGTCCCTACAGTTGGGGGAGAGGGGAGCAGGTTGGCAGAGGGAGGCTTGGGCAGGGCCAGGCTAGGTGTCCTGGCTGGGTTGAGGCTGAGGCGGGGGTTGGCGTGGAAAGGGCCAGCTCCATGCCTGCCTCGCTTCTTCCCAGTGACACAGTGGCACCGAGCTCAACATTCTGCAAGGTCTACACGCTGACCCCCTTCCTGGCCAACAACCGGGAGAAGCGGGGCCTGGCCCTGGACGGGAAGCTGAAGCACGAGGACACGAACCTGGCCTCCAGCACCCTGTGAGGACCCGCCCTCCTAGTCCCAGGCTCCTAGACCATGAGTTCCCTCCCTCCCTGACCCCGTTTGTGCAGGGACAAGGGTCAGCTTTGCCTCTCCCAGTGCTAGGAGGCCCAGGGAACAGTGGGGACCCCGATCTGGCTCACTCAGTCAGTGCCAGCCCTGCTGCTGGCCTGGGGCCGGGGTGGCAGCTTCTGGCCTGGTGTCCTCGGGCACAGGCAGTGTTCCTGAGGCTGGAGGGAAGGGAGTGGCTGCTGGAGAAGTCGCAGCATGATGGGATGAATGGGAGGGCTTGGGGAGTCTGGAGAGAGCAGGCTTATAGGCTGGGTGGCCCAGGTGTGGGGTGCCCTCCATATTGGAGACCCCAGGGCTATCTATCTGGTCACTCCTGACCCATGGGGATCATTAAGCCTAGGGGTGTAGGATACCTTCCTCACTGTCCCTACTGGGGTCTTCAGCACCCTGCTCCCGCCCCAGCCTAGACTCTAGGCTTAGGCCCGTCTGATCCTTCCTTGTCCCAGCCTAGGCAGCCCCCATCCGGCCAAGCTTTCTGTCCCCTTCTGTACCCCAGCTTAAATCTTACCGGTCTGTAAGACCTCATGGAGGCACCGCCTCGTTGGAGCCCCCTTTCCCTGACACCTTCAGCTCGCACAGCCCTCACTTTCTGAGCTCGCAGCTGGCCCTTTCTGCCAATGGGTTGCTGAGCGCAAACGTGGGGAGAGAAGCAAATTCCAGAAAGAGCAGCTACAGCCCACCCCTCCCTAGGCCGTCGGGACAGGGCCAGGAGGGCCTGACCAGGGTCACCCAATCAGGGGTCTCACAGCCACTTCGGGAACCCAGGGCTGGAAGTTCTGTCTCCTTGAGGGAGGGCACAGTTCATCTCTGTCACTTCTGCTGGCCCAGGCTGAGGCCCACACTAGGCGCTGTGGGACATGATGGCTGGGTACCCCAGGAGAAGAATGGATAGCAGTGCTCCCTACCCAGCCCCACTACCCGCTGTGTCTCACTTCCCAGCGAGCCCTGAGAACCCGCTAATCTGTGTCGCCTTGCAGGTTGAGGGAAGGTGCCAACCGTGAGATCCTGGGCATCATTGTTTCCTACAAAGTAAAAGTGAAGCTGGTGGTGTCTCGGGGCGGGTGAGTGCTGCAACCCAGTCCAAAGTCCCCAAGCACAGAGGTGCCCACAGCCTCCTGTCCCATTCTGCCCTGTTTGTCAGACCTTTTAACTGCGTGCATCCTCCTGTGGAGGAGGAATGGGGATTGAGGACTTCCTGTTCCTCTCTCCCTCCTTCCGGTTCTCTTCCCCTCCACGGACCCCACTCCCCCTGCTTCTCCAGTGCCCCCCACTTCCCCTCCCATCTCACTCCCTCTCTCCAGCTCATCCTTATCCCAGGCTGGGCCTTGCATGGAGTGGGCACGCAGCAGGAGAGCGTCCTCAGAGTCTATTCTGTGGGAGCCCGAGGCTGCCATGCCCCTCATATCACCTTGGGACACAACTTGCACCCTCACTCTCGCCTAGACTGATCTCCTTGGGGCTCAGAGTGCCAGAGCTGGGTTCTGGATTTGCTACTTCGACCGACTTTCCCATTGTACACATGGGGAAGCAAAGGCCCTCACACTTCCCCAGTTACTTCCTGAAGTCTTCTCTTCTACCCTCGCATCATAGCCGGATGCTGGAGTCCCAGCAGTGCACCAGACATACAGGGCAAACTACTCTACAGTTTGGTGTAGGCTCAGAAAAAAAAATCCCATTTCTCCATAAATTGGGTCTCTATGTTATAAACCTAGAATTTAACGTTTCTAATTTGGGGGGGGGGATTTTTTTTTCTAATTTGGTTCATAAGTTTCTAGGGAAAGATTGAAACATTTAATAACATTAGACATTGAGTCCCCTTAATTAGAATAACACTGATCACAAATTATAGGACACCTTTAAATCCCGAATCCTGTGTCCTGTGTGGCCTTGCAGGACCCACAGTCTTCTGTGTGCTCCTGGTGACCCCGACGCAATTCCTTGTGGCATCCCACAGTGCTGGCGGGGAGAGCCTGGCTCAGAGCTGTGGACCCTGGGGCCCAGGGAGTATCCTGAGCTGGGCTTGCACTCGGCCCCAAGGGCAGACTGAAACCATCGGTGCCCTGGATGAGCGTTCTGTGCAGGGGAGGGGGTGTCCCCTGGGTCTGCTCTGGGAGGCAGCAGAGGTGGTGAATGAATGTGCTTTCTCTTTTCTCTCTGCACTCTCTCCTGACCACTCCTCCCGCCTCCTCTGACCCACTCAGCCTGTTGGGAGACCTTGCATCCAGGTAAAGTTCTCCCTTCTCCCTGCCTGAGCCACCTTCCTGCAAGGCCCGGAGACCCCTGGCCTGCCTGACCAGAACCAGGGGACACGGGGTTGGGAGGAATCTAGAGGTCTTTGCAGATCAAAGTCTCGGGGCTAGAACCCTCTCAGGAGGGACTGGGGCCCACATTGTTTTTGTAAAAGACTTTTCCCTTCTTTTCCATCCCACTTGAGTGACAGGGACCTTTGCAGACAGCAAGGATTTGGGGAGTGGCCCTGGGAGAGCACACTGAATTCCGGGGTGTTTAAGAGAAACGCAGGCTTTGTGGAGTTCAAACCTCTATACCAGTACACCACCGAGTGTGTGCTGCTAAGGAGAACCCTCGAGAGGTTTATTTCTGTAGACAAGATTCCTTGTGACCAGTTGGATGGACTTGTGTTCCCAAAATGCAGGGGCCACAAACATGGCTATTTGGCCTGTCCCTATCAAAAGATGGCAGTAGTGTTCAGCATATGAAATCTCGGTCTACCTTGAGAGGTGAAATTAATTTAATTGAGTTCAGTGTGGTTCATCAAAGACTTCCTGAACCCAGACCTGTGCTAGGTGCAGAAGTTCCTGAAGCACGCAGAGCCCCTGCCTGTTGTACTGCTGGCCTGGTGGGAGGCTGAGGTCCAGGTTCTCCCTACCGTATCCTGCACAGTGTGGTGAAGGCTGGCACACTCGGGCTCCCAGCAGCTCTGTCAATGGTGCACTGTTCCAAGTGAGCCAGGATAAGCCGTCCGCTTTGGAAGCAAAAACAAACAGAAAGTCAAATATTTTTGACTGTCTTATCAAATCCTCATCTTCGTGTTGAGGGGAAGTAATAATTCTGATGGGCACAAGCCTCACAGTTTAACCAGGCCTTTTACCCACATCTGGCAGTTCCTGTGGTTCTAGAAGGTTGGTCTTGTCCTTCTTCCAGATGAGCTCAGTGAGTCTCACAGATGTAAAGTGCTCCACCAGGGAGGGGGCCAGTGGGACGTACATTTCTGCCGGCACTGCCCGGCCCAATCCCTTCCCCATCCCTCCGCTTTGCAGCTGGGCCCAGGGCAAGAATAAAAAGATGCAGCTGTACCCGGAGGCACTCAGTGTCGGGGGAAGGTTTCCTAGGGTGAGGAGCTGAGGAGTTGAGAACAGTGCCAGGAAGGCTGTGGTGTTTTGAGGTGGGCAGGGTCCAAGGGCACCTGTGGAGCCACCCGGAGACCACAGGGCACACAGCCCTGAGCCGTCCTTTCCCCAGCCCATGGAACTCCCAGAGCTCTTTCTCAGGAAAAGAGAAGTTTCCATTTCTCTCTGACGGCAGGAGAAGTCTCCTAGCTCCATCCCTAGAGAGACTGAGGCTTAGAGAGTGGGAGACCAGGGTGGACCTGCCTCCCTGACCACGAACCCTCTCCAGTCCTCCGACTGCCAGGGCATCAGAGCTCACGGCCTGAGACTACTCTGGGCTCACAGGGTTTGGGTCTGTGTTTCAGCGATGTGGCTGTGGAGCTGCCCTTCACCCTAATGCACCCCAAACCCAAAGAAGAACCTCCACATCGGGAAGGTGAGCAGGGCCCATGGGTCACTGGCGTGGGGTTTCTGGATAGCTGATTCCCTTCTCCACCAGCTGTCACCCTGTCACCCCACCTCCCCCAGGCCTCGCCTTCAGCCTAGTGTCACCTTTCCCCCAGCAACCAAGGGTCTTTGTGAAGCCTACAGTTCCTACCTCTGACCCTGTGGGAGACAGGGAGCCTTGCCCTCTGCTCTCCGTGGAAGAGGGAGGCTGGGAGCAGAGGAGGGAGCACACTGGCCACACACACAGCCACAGACTGTCCCCTTCCGGAGCGGGGGAAGGGGTTACATAGATAAGGTTCCCTCTGGACACACCATTTCCGTAATTTTTCAAGGGATAATCAATTAGTCATATTTCATTGAATCTAAGAATGGCACCATTTCTGTGATTAAACTGTAAAATGTCATTGATTATAAAACATACTCCAAGCTCAAGAGAGGTTAAAATGCTAAAGCAAACAAACAAACAGTTGTCTTAGAGGTAGTAAAAGTCATGAATGCACGAATGTAGGTCATGTTGGAAACTTGTCCATGTCCTGGGGCTGCAGTGGGCATCTGGGGCCCTTTGTACGTCCCCCTGCCCTGAAGATGATCTGGGGTGTTCCAAGGCCTGGATGAGGCCTCCCCTTTCCCTTCCCCTTCTTCTTTTGCCTTCCCCATATTAGCCTGCTTGTCCCAGGATGGGGGCCTGTGCCTACTCATCCCTACCCCTCACTAACTCTTGGGCACCCTGCCGCCCTGTGTTCAGTTCCAGAGAACGAGGCGCCAGTAGACACCAATCTCATAGAACTTGACACGAAGTAAGCCAAATCCTGCCTGTGGATGTCTGGGGTGGGCCTGGGGGTGCTATGGAGGGGACATTTGCATATATGCTTATTAAGCCCTGAGGAGCACTGGTCTAACCCCGTCCGCTGAGAGCCACCTCTGCTCGCCTCTTCAGCAGCCCGCTTGCCTGCATGTGACTTGAAGGACCCTCCGTGCCTGTTCCTCTTCCTCCTGCCTTGGTGGGGTCTGTCTTCCTCCCTCGTTCTTGCACGTCCGTCCGTCAGTCCGTCCGTCCACAGCACCTGCTTGGCTCACACAGAGCTGGTTCGAGCCCTGGGATCTGCTCTCCCGCCCCAGCACGCCCATTGGGTGGAGGCAGGCTGTGGGTGGGGAAGGGTTTGGGGTCCTGCTGCTTCTGACTCCTGTGGACCACCTGATGCGGATGTCTCTGCGGTGGACAGCCAGCGCGGCCCTGGACCATGGCCGGAGGGGGAGGACCTGGGCCAACAGCACGGATCACCTCCAGGGCCAAGCAGTTTTCTTGCTCCAGCTCCAAAAGCCACCCTTGCCTTGTGCCCAGGGAGAAATCTGGGAGATGGGAGTCTCAAGTCACTCCATAAGGATGCTCCATGCTGCTGGCTGAACTCCATGGGGCGGGCGGCTTGGACGGGACCCTGCCTGGTCCTTAGGGTGCATGCTTTATGATAGAAGGGAAGCATCCTTAGTACTGCAACCCCACCCAGGTACCCTAAGCCCACCATGTCTTGTGAACTGACACTTCCCGGGAGAAGGGGCTTCATGGCTTTCTCTTCCATGAAGTCCAGGCCACCCCTTCCCGTTCAGAAACAGGAATGCTTCCTATGGGCGGCTTTGTGGGTGGGCGGCTTTTCTGGGGGGTTAAGATATGCTGTGAAACCTTGGTGGCCTAGCCTTTCATGGTGGGAACAATTCCTTCCTCTGGCCACAGAGCCACTCTGCTCCCCCGTTTGACGTGTCTCATCTCCTCAAAACTGGGTCACTTTTCTAGCTCCTAGGCTTGCAAGTCAAGCTTATGCCCCTTTGGCATTTTACCACTTCCCCAGGTCCAGATGTGGCTGTCCAAGCAGCTAGCGGTGGGCATGCAGATGTGCCAGCCTGGCAGGCCTTCTGCTCCGAGTCAGCCCCAGAGGCCAGAGACCTCAGAGTATGGTTCTCTCCTCGGGCCCTGGGCGTTGCATCGGGCCAGGCCTCTGCGTTTGCCTCCTCTCCTTGCCCCTGCAAACATGCCGCATTTTCCTTGTCTCTCCCACCAGCGATGACGACATTGTATTTGAGGACTTTGCCCGGCAGAGACTGAAAGGCATAAAGGACGACAAGGAGGAAGAGGAGGATGTTACTGGCTCGCCACACCTCAACGACAGATAGACTGGGGCCGACCTCCCTCGGGGCAGCTCCGGTCCACTCTCCCGCACTAGGATGCTCACTCGTCTTCTTCCCGTTCTGGTTTTCCTCCCCTTTGTTCTTCCAGTTTCTACCAGGGGGCCTTGTGGTCTCCAGGTCTTAGTGATGGACCTCGGGCCTTGGGACTGGTCCCACATCACCATGCCAACAGGACCGCAGTGCACCGAATTCACCCCTCTCCAGAGCCACCTCTCCACTCCCTTCCCCTTTTTCATGCTCACTCCCAGAAAGGCCACCATGACCCCAGTCTCAGGATTTGGCTTGAAATGGGCAGTGAAAAGGGGAGGGTGTGCAGGAGGGATGTGGCCGTGGTGGGCATGAGGACTCAGAGGTGGGCAGGTGGGCTCAAGATGTAGAAGATGCCTGGAGTCCCATTGGTAGCGCGGTTCTGCCTGCTGAAGGATGACCATGTGGGTGGTCCCCCTTCTGGCTGGAGGGGCAGAGCTGGATAGAGTCCCAATGCCTGTCTGCAGTTCCGACCCACCAAAGACCTCTCCTCCTTCACCTTCACCCCTGCCCAGGTCCTTTCATCTTATAGTGGCATTGGTGAAGACCTGTAGATGCCAGAGTGGAGAAAAATGGTTGATTGACTTTTGTACCAGCAGATACCTGGGCTGAGGCCAGTTGTGTGAACCAGCCAGGTACATTTCGGCATTGTCAGAACGTGGCATCTTAGCTACCGTGTGCACAGAGATGGGAAGGAGCAAGTGCCAGCCCCCGGCAGGGGAGGTTTCCAGAGCGCTTTCAAAGGTGGGGCAGGGGGTGGGAAGATGAGAATCCACTTACTTTCTTCCTTCACTGATTTAAGATGATCACCAGGAGCAAGGCTGGAAAGCCAGAGGCAGCTGGGCCACCACTGTCCCTGTCTCCCCGCTGTAGTTCTCCAGGGCTGTTGGACTGGGCCGGCCTTGCAGGTTGGGAAAGACAAAGTGGAGGCCACCAGGCCCTCTGTCAAAGGGGCTCCTTCCCCAGTAGGCTCCTTCCAGATGCTCTCCCCCAAAGGGGAGGAGGCTGCTTTTTTTTTCCCTTTGGGAGTCGATGACTCCAGAGGTTCCCTGTGTCATGGGTACCCTGTACCCATCAGCTGATGTTGGTGTGATCGAGACCTGGGACATTTCTCAGGAAAACAGGGCAGACAGCTGATAAAGTAGAAAGTGTTAAAAGGTATCCATCCTTCTTGTCTGGTCTTTGATGCTAACTTGCTGTGTGACCTTGGGCAAGTTTCTTCCCCCCTCTGTGGGCCTCAGTTCCTCACTGGAAAACCAAGGCATTTGAACAGATGATCTCAAAAGGCCTACCAGCTCTGGCTTCTGAGACTGTGTGAATATTAGAGCTTCTGGTGTTCTAGGTGGAGCTGGGACTGCTGACTGCTCTAGCCTCCAGACCTCAGAAGGCAGCGCCCACCCCAGCACCTAGTTCCTCCTCCAGGCCTAAGAAGCACCCTTTTTGGGCTCCAGGAAGTTGCCCAGTGTGAAGCTGTAGCCATAGTGTGGATGTAACAAGATGGGACAGAGCTGAGCTTGCCGCAGCTTGGGTGAGGGTTTGTGATAGAGCCTCCAGGACCTCACAGCTCCTCTCCCCGAGGATTCAGACATCCTGAAGATTACCCAGGCAGATCCTTTGATTAGCAAGGCAAGGGAATCTCTCCTCTGTTTTTGCCCCCTCCTACTTGGTCCCACAACTGCCTGGAAAGGGGGACAACACAATCACATTATACAATTGGATCCGAACTTTTTCCAGCCTGGCATATCTGGTGGTGGGCTGGACAACGATCTTCCACGGTGAAATGACCCAGTCACCTGGCCCTGCCAGGCGATCTCATGAATCCACAACCCAAGGCACCCCTTCCCAGGTCAGAACTGAGCGCAGGGCAGCCACACTCCTCTGGCCAGTCTGGAGTCCTGCTTGCAGGGTCCTCCTGCTAGAGCTGGCTGGGCACTTTGTGCCCCATCTGGACAGCTTTAGAGGCCTGGGACACTGGAACAGCAGGTGGCAAACATGTGCTTTCTGCTGTCTCCCTCTGGAAGTGGATAGGGGACCCTCTTGTGTTTGGGGTAACCGGTCCCCTGCTGGCCTCTTCCCCCCGTCCTAGCATGCACATAGAAGATCTGTCAGACTGGCTTCTTCCACCTCAACATTACACTCACCTTTGGGGTTTGTCCCAGTGTTCACTGCAGTTTTTCCAGCTGTGGGGAAGCAGCAGAGCCCTGTCTGTCCTTTTGCTCCTTGACCCAAACTGCATTTGGCAGTGGTTAAGTTCAGTTGAATTCAGCCTAACCATTCTTTGCCGATGGCTTCACTGCTGTCTGCCTAGCACTGCAGACACAGAAATGGGCTGTCCTTGGGAAGCTCTTCGCCAGGGGGAAGCTACAAGGTAAGGAAGAGAGCCACTGCATTCAAGCTGCATGGCTGCTTCCGGTCCATGCCCAGCCTTGATGTGAGTTAGAACCCAGTACTCATTTCCAGGGGGATTTGGACACTAGAATGACAGGCTTGTGGGTGGAACATGGGTTGGATTTTGGTGCCACTTGTCCCTTGGCCAGGTGTCTTTCTGTGGAGCTGTGCTGCAGTCCTGTGGGACATAGGCCAAAGTGTATCATTGGCATCTTCTTGGAGAGGAGGATCCAGATCATCTTTCCAGACACCGCAGCTCCCCTAACATGACTGAGTGGTTCTCTTTAGGGCTTCTGCTTTCTGGAGTCAACCTGGCCAGGTGACACCCAATTTCACTAGGAGCTAGAGAGCCTTAGTAGGCCCAAGAGCCACATTTTTTGACTCCTTTTGTTGCCTGTGCCAAACCAGCAGCCCCGCACTGGTACTTTCCAGTGGGCCATGTGGGTGGTACATTGATCAAGTCTGGCAGGAAGGAAGAACTTGCTTTGAGTGAAAGCACCAAGCTGAGGGCTGGCTGGATTCACTCAGCACCTCCACTAAGAGAAGAGTTCTGTCCCTGGGAAGATAAGGACTGAGTTATTCAGCAGGGCCCCGTGGGCTCGTCAGCCTTACAGCCCAGACAAACGAGAGTGGTCTCATCTTGGTTTTAGTTTGCCTGGGAGAACAGCTGACAGCCGGTTCCCCCATGGTGCAGTGAAAAGAGTGTTTCTTTGGAAATCCCAAGTGCCACCTTTCGGTCCTGGCTGTCATCAGCCAGCTGGGTAGCCTTGAACAAGTGACTCAAATTAATGGGTGCAGTTTCCCTAGCTGGCATGGAGCAACGATCCTTTCCCTGCCTGACTCAGGCATTGTTGTGAGTCCCAGGGGAGATGGAACTCATGGCCAGTTGTCTTTTAAGTAGCTCAAGTGTGGCCCTGCAGGTGCAAGGGCACGGCCCAAGGTCGCACAGGGGTTTTGCTGTGGGCTGCGCCATCTTCACACCAGTCTCCCTCTCTTGCCTTGCTTCTCACTTAGGTAGATGTGAACTAGAATGAGATTCAGTCAGTTTGGCCTTGGTGACCCAGCTGTGGACACTTCTCAGGACTCACAAGCCCAAAGATGGGTCCAGGATCCAGGTCAGAGAGAAGACATGGGTGTTGTCCGTGACTGGAGGACAAGGCCATTTTAGGCTCTCTCAGGCCTAGGCTATCCACATTGCCCACCTCTCCCCTCATAGAGGTCAAGAAGCCTTGGCCATGACGCCAGTCAAGGAGCTGACCTCGCTATTTTTCCATCAAAGAAATCCAAGAGTGAGAGGAAATAGAAAACGCCTGCTCCTTCCCTTCAGACTATACAGACCCATCCAGGATTAACCAGAGCAACAGTGGCTTCTTGGTGACACTTGGGAGGGCCTGGGGCCCAAAATGCCCAGGTTTCTTGCCCCAAGAACTGAGCCCTGGTTGATCCATCCCCAGTGGTTTCAGCAACTCAGAGAGGTAGCTGCTTTCCTGCCAATGACTAGGGCCTAGACACGCTCCACCACCCAGGAGGGAGGCCACCATCTTGCACTCTTATAGGGTTTCATGGATACAGGCCTATGCCTGTTTTGATATTTTTCTTTTTAAACACAATAAGGACCAAAAGAGACTCCCCTGATCCTCACTCATCCAGCCTGTTGCCATCATCCTGGTCCTGGCATCTCTACCACCTTTGCCCTTCTTCCTGGCCGACCAGAAGCAGCCAAACCTGTGGGGGCAGATCTCCACCTCTGTCTTGCCCTGTACAGTCACCACACAGCAGCTTCAAAGGGAGGCCTGCAGGAGTGGGGAGCACCTTCTCCCAGCACTCTCCCAACTTGTCATCCCCAAAGAGAAGTCAAAGCACAGGTCCCCGGGACCCATGACCTGCAGACACTTTGTCACAGTGGTTTTCCAACCAGGCACTGTGGAACCCCTGGCACGTTCTGTAGAACCCTTGGTATGCCGCAGAGCTTTGTCAGGGGATGCTCTGTGGGGACACGGGAGTGGAGGTGAGCAGGGGCTGAGCCTGCAGCCCCTCCTCCAATCCCACTCTGCCCCCAGAACAGCTCTGCTTTTATCTCTTGCCTACTGAGGTTTCACTTTCAGGCTTTGTTTTGAAGAAAAACTTCAAACCACCATTCTGAGGTTTGATCTTAGACCAGCAAGCACAGGTTCTATTCTTGCTTTTCATGTTGGAGCAGCTTCAGCATTCCAAAACCAAGTGTCTTTGTAGTGAATGTGGGTCACACACCTAGGCCCAGTTCTCTCTAACACACTCTCTGTCTCTCTGTCTCTCAGACGCACACAGGCACACATACATGTACACGTTTGATGGTTTTCTAGCCAATCCCCTCTGTAGCTCTGGCCTGGATTTGATGTGGGCAGGGCCTGGTGCTTAGTGAGGATGGAGCTTGTCCCTTGATACTGACCATGCAGCACAGGGGACCATGGAGCAAGGAAACAGGCCCAGTCCCCACCCAGGACTCCTATCTGCACCCATGTGACACCCCACTTCTGAGCCAGGCCCATGGGACGACAGGGGGAGCAGGGTGAGGGGAAATGAAGCTAGAGCCGGGTTCCCCTTTGCCCACTGCCCGGCGGCTGGAAGTCTGGTTCTGCAGAACACTCACACTGAGGCCAGATTCCCCCAGAGACCTTTTAACAGCAAGTTTCCATCACATAACTCTAGTAGGCTTCTGCGCCCACATTTGGGAGCAATCAAGTATGTGGACTGCAGGAGGCTCTTGTGCCCAGAAGAGGCACCTGCAGTCTCCCAACTTTTCTGTCCCTCTGCCCACGCCCGTCACCAGGGCTTCCTAGCATGTGGGCATTTTGGTGAGACTTGGACCAGCCTTAGGCACAAAGCCCTGCTTGGGCCCTTCTCCTGGGGTGAGAGTGTGAGACTCGGCACTGCAAGCAACATGGCATGGTGGAAAGCGTGCCAACTGGTACTTTGTTTAGCATGAGCGTGCCCCTGCAGGTGCCACTGATCACAGTTTTCTGTGGGTAAGCAGGATCTGCACACCTCTCGGGGACCATTGCAAGGGCCGTGGGGGAGGTGGGAGGTGGGAGGCGGGGAGGTCCTATGAGGTGGCAGCTATGAGAGGTGGGTGCCTCATAAACCTGGGCTGCGACAGTCTGTAGGCCCTCAGGAAGGGAGAGGAGAGCGGTCCTCCCGGGCATCTGTGCTGGGTGTTAAGGCCCAGTCACAGTTGCTTTGGGGGTGCCTCTTGCTACAAAGTGGGAGGCAGTCAGTGTGTGTGTCCTGGGCAGGAGGGAGAGGTGGCCAGGGCAGACTCAAGTCTGTGACCCTTCTGTGAAGTGACGGTTCTGTGGCACTCATTCCTGGGTCACCCCAGGGTAATCTGTTGTACCTGTGGCATTCCTAATTCTGTCAGATAAGTTATTATAGTTATTCAACTCCAACGGGACAAATGAACAAAAGAACCATAAATAGGAGGCCATTAAAGGTCTTTTATGACAGAAGATGCTGGCTGTGCTTTTATTTCTGTCTCATAAATTCCTGGCAGGACATAGTCCAGGAGGGCCTGCCCTACTGCTCGGGACTGGGTTCCGTGTTTTCTTCCCTTGTCTGTAGCCCCAACTGTAACTTCGTCCTTGTACCACTTCTGGAGAGTGCCAAGAACTTCCCTTCCGTCTCTGGTCTGCCACTATCCAGCTTTCTGGTCTTGGGAAAGCTGCCAAGCCTCGGATTCCTCTCAGAACACGCTGGATTTTATGATTCCTGATTTGGTCCCTGGGGGAGGCTCCCCATCTTTATTTTTGCACCACTACCGCCTCAGCTGGAGTCTACAGCTGACCCCACACTCCGGATCCTGAGCTTTTCTCGTTCTCTTGCTCTTGGGGAACGCCACTGACCTCAGTTTCCCATGTGTAAATGGGGCTTCAGTTCCTATCTGCTGCTCTGCTGCGTCCGCTCCCTGGACCCACTTCTGTTTTGTAAGCCTCACCCACTGCCTGAGCTAGGAGAATCCATGGGAGGAGCAGGGACCTTGGTGAGGAAGAGCCAGCACAGTGCCAGATAATGTACGGCTGACACAGAAAGACGAGACTTATGAATATAAAATCACTTTCCTAGAAAATTAATTTTGTATTAAAAATATGTTTATATTCCTGCAAAACCGTGAACAACTGAGATCTAAAGTGAGCCTTCCCAGCAGGCAGGAGAGCTGCCTGTTCCCTCTGGTGTTCCCCTCCAGCCAGAGGGGTGCGGTGGGGACACACTTGAGTGAGGAGACTTGTGCTAGAGCTTTTCTTCTACTGACCCTGCTCCCGGGGATTAAATTCAACCCAATCCAAGTCAACAGCCAATGCCAGGAGACTTTTTTTTTTTTTTTTTTTTTTTTGTGGGCTGAGGATCAACCCAGAGCCTCATGCATGCTAAGCAAGCACTCTACCACTAAGCTATGCCCCTATGTCAGGAGTTTAATTGGGGAAATTGGTTGTTTAAATGTTGGATGAAAAAGCAAATGAAATACGACAACTTGAAGGTCACCAGGAAGCCATTACCATTCTCTCGGGTAGAGGAACAAGGAGAGGGGGTGGTATTACCCCAGCTGAGGCGCCAGGACAGCTCAGCAGGGACACTGAGGGAGAAGGCATCTGAGGAAGACAGAACAACAGCCTCCTCCCTGCCGCCACCACCCACCTATAGCTATCACTGGGGATGCTGCCCAAACCAGAGAGAGAGAGAGAGAGAGAAGGAGAAATTCCCTCTTCAATTCCTGCCCTCCAATTTCCTGCCAGTGCATCTTATTGATAGAATCTGATTATAAGTTAATTTGCAAGGAATTTTGAGGGAATGTAGTTTGGAGTGGTCAGTGCCTGGAAATATAGAACAAGAGAAGGTGAAAGGATTAGACCCCAAACCAAATAGGCAACTGATCAGCTCTTCCTTAGTCTTCTCATCTAAAACACAAACCAAGAGGGCCCTGATATCTTAACAGAATTCTCAGCATACGAGAGATATTGGTTGTTGTCCCTTATTTTCTTTAGCTTTTCTACTATTGTAACTGCCCTCATAATTGTTTGGAGCTTCATTTTGCTTAGCTTTTTCTTCTTTTGTGGTACTGGGGATGGAGCCAGCTAACTTACTCATGCTAAGTAAGTGCAAGTGCTCTGACACCTACACCCACACCCATAGCCCTTTGCTTTGCCTTTTTTTTTTTTTTGGTACTGGTGATTGAATTTAGGACCTTTACACTGAGCTACATCCCTAGCCCTTTTTACTTTTTGAGACAGGGTCTTGAAAAGTCACTAAATTGCCCAGGCTGAATTTGCAGTCCTCCTGTCTCAGCCTCCCAGAGTATTACAGGTGTGTGCTACCATGCACAGCTTTACTTAGCCTTTTAGAATTCAAGATGATCAAAACAAAGAAAAAGTTTGTATTCTGGCTAAGGTGAACTATATCCACAACAGCCTATCCTTCCATCTTTTTATACTTAAAAACTCTGGGGAAAATGATGAACCATAATTACCTAATAATTCCAAAAATCAAACAAACACCAGGAGATGGCACAAGAGAGTCAAAACTTGGAGAAATAATCTACATATCGTAAATTTTTCTTCTTTTCTCTTATGGAATTGCACTGAGATTAGAACCACCACCCACAGAAGGTAAGACAGAACTTAAGGTCTGAACTTAAATTGGCTGATTACCCCTTGTGACCATAATAACAACAAAATCAACACTCTGAGCAGGAGTATAACAGTACTCAGAACCTACATAACATAATATTCATAATGTCCAGAACACAATCTGAAATTATACAACATACAAAAATCAGAAAAAAAATGGGACCAATTCCCAAGGAAAAATATAATCACCAGATACCAACTCTGAGATGACTTAGATATGAGAATTATTATAAAAGACTTTGAAATGTCTATTAGAAATTGAAATAGATGAAAAGATAGTGATTCACAGCATAGATATAGAAACTATAAAGAAAACCAAATAAAAATTTTAGAACTAAAAAATATAACACTTGAAATAAAATATTTCCTGCATGACTTTATAGTAGAACGGAAATCACAGAGAAAGGAGTCAGTGAGCTTGTAAATCAAGAGAAATTACTGTCTCTGGCTGGGCATGGTGGTGCATGCCTATAACCCCAGCACTCATGAAGCTGAGGCAGGAGGATCATCATGAGTCTGAGGCCAGCCTGGGTGCATAAGGCCAGCCTACACTACACAATGAGACCCTGTCTCAAAAAAAATGGATACCAAATAAAAAATTTTCAGATGAAGAATTAGGAATTAATAGAACTAGTTACCAGTAGACTTAGTCTAGAAAAATGCTGAACAAAAATATTTAGGTTGAAGAAAAATGATGCCAGAGATAAACTCAGATAAGAGCAACAGAGGTAAATATTTGATTGAATATAAAAGGCTACCTTTATTGTCTTACATTCTTTAAAATACATATGACTATTGAAGGAAAAACTATAGCATTATCTGATAAGCTTTTCATTGGTGATAAGTAGTTGAAATCCCTCTGAAAACTATCATAGGTAATAGATGAAATACTTGTGACAATTATAATGTAAAGACCAGTGAGGGAAGATAAAGACACTTTCTTTGTTCATAAGCCTTCTATATTGTTATGGCTTGTGCCTAGGTGTCCCCCCAAAGCTTCATGCAGTCATGGGGGGCTTTTAGAGGTGGCTGGATTTAGACTGTGTGGTGGTGGGATCAAGGATCTGTGATTAATAGATCGGTCCACTAATTGGTTTGGTATATTTCTGGCTAGGATTAAGAGTGTCAGTGTTATACCCTGGCTAGGGCAGGTAGCCTGCATACACTATAAGGGACAGGAAGAAGGCTAATGTGCTCTCACCTGCCTGCCTGCTATTTCTCCTCTGTGATACCCCTCTGGCATGCCACCTTTCCTTGGAGCCAGAGGACTATGAATTGAAACCTCTACAGACTGTGAGCCAAGTAATCCCTTCCTCCTTTAACTTTGGGTGTTGGGTATTTTGTCTCAGCAACAAGAAAAGTAATTAAGACATGTATTATACTTAAAATGGTACAATACTAACTCTAAGTAGACTGAAAGGTTATGTATGTCTATTGTGATCCCTAGAGCAACAACTAATAGTATAGCCAAAAATGCAAATTAAAGTAGAAAAATTTTAAATAGCATACTAAAAACAACTCAAATACTCTCAAAGAAAGCAGGATATTAAAAAATAGCAACAGGGAAATACCAATATTCCCAACTATATCAATAACCACATTAAACGAAAATGGTCTAGAAGCAGAGTGTGGTGGTGCACACCTGTAATCCAACAACCCAGAAGGCTGAGGCAAGAGGATCTCTGTGAGTTCAAAGACAGCTTGGGCTACATTGTGAGTTCAAGGCCAGCCTGAACCACATAGTGAGATTCCGTCTCAAAAATGAAAGAAAACAAAACAGGAAAAGGCCAAATCAACCCCAAAATGGTATAAATATAACAAAGGAGATTTCCAGTTTGGGTTTTAAAAACGTCATGATCCAACTATATGCTGTCTATAAGAAACTTACTTTAACTGTAAAGACACAGATAGGAAGCCAGGTGTGGTGGCACATGCCTATAATCTCAGCATTTATGAGGCTGAGGTTGGAGAATTACCATGAATTTGAGGCCAACCTGTACTATACAGTGAGTCTGAGGCCAGCCTGGGTTACAGAGTGAGACCCTGTCTCAAAACAAAACAAAACAAAGAAAAACAGAAAAGGACTCAGGTTAAAAGTCAAAGGATGGAAAAGATGTACTATACAAATAATAATAAAAGAAAAGATGAAATGGCTATGTTGATATTTGATAAAGTAGACTTCAGAACAAGAAACGTTACCAGGGATAAAGAAAAACATACATATTAATGAAAGTGTCAATTTACAAAGGAGACATAATGATCTTAAATGTGTATGCTTCTGATCATGTTTCCAAGTACACAAAGCAAAAAGTGGGACTGAAAGGAGAAATAATCAAATTCCTAATGCTCCTTTCTCAGTAACTGCCAGTAATGGGAGAATATGAGAAAGGATATAGAAGACCTGAACAATACCAGTTAGTTTTCATTATAGAATATTTTACTTCAAAGCAATAGAATATGCATTCTTTTCAAGTGATAAGAAACTTTTGTTCACCAAGAAGGAACACTTTTAGGGCCTAAAAATTAGCAAATTTAAAAACATTTAAATAATAAATATCATCTCTGATCATAACAGAAAAAAACTAGAAATAATAAGAAGGAAGTATCTGGAAATTTTGCAAATATTTGGACATCAAGCAACATTTCTAAATGGATCAAAAAAGAACTCATAAGGAAATTAGAAAAATGTTGTTTTAATGGAAAAACATTAGAATTAAATAAAAATGAAAATATATCTAAATTCACTAGATGCAGTCAAAGTAGCTATTATATCACTAGGTGCAGAAAAGCCATCTATTCATAGTTAAAGAAACAAACAAAATTCAACT